AAATTTTTCAAATTAGCCAGGTGTGGTGGTGCGTGCCTGTAACCCCGTGCCTGTAATTTCCAGCTACTCAGGAGGCTGAGGTGGGAGGATTGCTTGAGCCCAGGAGGCAAAAGCTGCAATGAGCCATAATCGAGCCACTGCCCTCCAGCCTGGGTGACCAAGTGAGACCCTGTCTCAAGAAAAAAAAAGAAAAAAGATTGTACACCTATGATGTGTGCACTTTTCTGTATGTATGTTATACTCTTCCCCAAAGTTTATTTTAAAATAGCCATGCCTGAATGAGAGAGACATAGTCTTCATATAGTTGCAGATGCAGCTGGAATTTATTGAGAACAAATTCATTCAAGTGTGCGCTTCTGAAAGCATGGTGGCTGTTTCTCATTATGTATTTGTTCTATCAACAGATAGAAAACAAGTACGGTTAGGAGGGGATGCACCATCTCTCATTAGAAAGGGGCCCTCCTGCTGATAACACAGTGTATTTTCTGAGCAGTTCACCAGGCCCTTACAACCCTCCTAGTCAAATCTTATGGGGCCCAGGGACTTAGCATGTACTCAGACCCATTCCTCACCCAACAGTATGTGAACACCATGAGGACAAGGACACTGCCTCCTACCCCGTGGTGGGAAGACCCTTTGTACATTCTCAGCAGTAAGTAGTCCAAGGCAGGACTCAAATGAGCAGCCAATGTCTACCACCATCCCCCAGCCCAGAGGGTCGGGGTGGAGATGGGTAAACAGAAGGAAGTGGAATTACACAGTCCCTTTCCCACGCTGGCCCTCCACCTTGGGCTGGGCCCCGCCCCTACTGAGCAGAGGTCAGGAACTTGCCCTACTTTCACTGAGACCTTCCCCACCCACGGGCCTCCACGCCCTTCCCCTGGGGTGGGCAGAAGGAGTAAGCTTTGCCTGCCTTCTCCCGCTCAGAAGTTGCCCTGGGAGCTTCCCCTCCTTGACCCCAGGGCCTACTGCCAGCCCTGACCTGGCCACTTCCTCTTCCTGCTCTGGCAGTGGGCAAGGGGATTTGTACTGTGGGCAGGGAAGCACTGCCTGCTGCCCCGGGGCTTCCCATGGGCAGCTCTGGGAACCAAGGGTGAAGGGTCAGGCCCAGGTCCCTGGCTCTGCTCTCCTGACCCTTGCCCAAGCCCTACCATGAGCACACATATCATTACATCCCCAAACCAGGCTCCTGGGGATGCAGTTAGGTCAGCCAGTGCCCCCACTCCTCCCCTTAGCTCTCAGCGGGGCGAAAGATGAAAGAGCTATCAGAGGCATCTTTGACCAGGAGCTAGCAAGCCCTATATGTGTCCTGAGGCCAGTCCCCTGTCCTCTCCAAGCTTCCTCATCTGCCTAATGCAGACATCACCAGTCCCAGTGCAGGGAGAATTCAGTTCACCACAGAAGGGAGAAGCTCAGAATCCAAATGTAGCACTGCCTGAGGCCTGGGCTCCCCCACTGTCGTGGGAAACCTGTGATGGAAAGGTAGGGTGGAAGTCAGGAAGAGGCAGTGCCTCTAGGGCACGGGGAAGTGTTACAGGGGGATGGGTTCCAGGACCCCATATACCAAAATCCACGCATACTAAAGTCTTGCACTCAGCCCTGTGGTACTCATGTCTGCAATGGGACAACCAGAGCAGCCTACAGCAGAATTCTGGGACTGGCAGGGAGGGTGGCAGGGACAGGAGACAGCAGGGTCCTCAGCTAGACAGGGGAGCCAGCAGCCCTCCTGCTCCAGGAACTACAGACAAACATCTCTCTCTCTCCCACTCCCGGGCTAAGTTGAGAGGAAACGAGAGTGTGCCCAGAGATGTGGCTCTACCCAGTACCCATTTTAGTGGGAAGAATTCTGGGAGAATTCCAGACTGTGTATGCAGCAAGTGCTCAATTAATACTCTGGAGAGAACTAGTTAGTTAAGGAAGTCAGACTACGGCCACAGAGGCTCTCTTCAGTCCAGTGATTTGGCTACCCCTACACCCCTCCCTCTCAGGCCAGAAGAAATGAACATCCAGAGCAAAAGAATAAGATCAGACTTCAGGACGAACAGCCAGAGGGGCTAGAAAACACAGACAAGATCATAGAGTTTGGGAAAGGTTGGCCCCCGCCTTGAACCTCCCTCAGTTTCCCCCTCAGTCTGTTCAGCTCCTGGCCAGCTCCCTTCCCCTCTCACCTTGGATGGTCTCCCACCACCAGAACATCAACACCCACCAAATTCCCCTGCCTCTGCCCAAGGTCTCCACCCAGCCTAGGCGGGCAAAATTTCAAATTCCAAAATAAAAACCCTCTGATAACGAGTCCCAGCCGGAAAGACTGATGCACTTTCCTATTGTTAAAGTATTTTTAGTCGCGCACTCTGGATTCGTTTAGAGACTCACGTTCAGAAAGGGGAAAAAAAATTTTTTTTGAGAACTGGGAAGGAGAGCACAGGAGCCTCCCACGTAAGGAGCTGCTGCCTGTTCCATGCCGGGCCAGAGCCCCTGGCCCCGGTCCCGGAGCGTGTTTGTGGCAAGCTGGTTGGCAGACTTGCCAGACCTCTCTCCAGCCCTGCTTCTCAGGCACCCAAAGCAACTGGGAGGCCCAGCAAAGGGGGCAGGCCAGGGGCTGAGGGCTCAGCAGGACGCCAAGCCCCTGGCCCAGCCACTCAGTCCCAACCAGTGGGGGCTCAGGGGCTCCACTCAGAAGCCAATCCTGAGGTACCCTGATGGAAACCAAAAACTCGCCACAGTGGCCAGGCGGGGTGGATGGGAGAGGAGGACAGAGGCCCTGTGGGGAAGCTGTGAGGAAGGAACTGGACCGCATCACCTGTCTCTGTCCACCTCTCCTGGTTGTCAGTCACAGTGCTCCCAAGTCCAACTACCGCCATCCAACTGGGGTCAAGCTGCACTCTCATGCCTCCGATGGCCAGCCACCCTTGCTTCCTCCCCCAAATCCAAGGCCAAAGGGTTTGGCACGACAGTCACAATGGGAAAAATTCCAAACAGCCCAGCTCCCATTCCTCAATGTCCCCATCCAAGACTCACCAGCTTCCTCCTGACAATCTGCTTTGACCCTGGACGAAGGTCCCAGACAACCACATGAAGGGAGAATCCCAAGATTGGTTGGGGGCTCTTCCTGAAGGCCTCAGGGAGCCCTGCAGGGAGAGAAGTGCTGCCCAGCCAGCCTATCCTCGTGGCTGAGGCTGGGCAGCAGCTGAGCGGGCTCTGGATGTGGTGCTGCCTCCAAGCCGGCGTGTCCTCCTCTGTTTTTATAGCAGAAACCAGAGCCGGCCTCTGGGGATGGGGGGAGCCACTTTGGGTCCTCTTGGCTGGGCCTGACTTTGGCCCAGGTCAGCAAGAGCCCAAAATAGTCAGCTGACGGGAGCCCCGGCATGAGCGTGACCCTGGGCCCATGCCCAGGCCTGGCAGACAGGTGCCCACGTCACAAGACCAGCAGCTCTAGCACTTATGGGGCCCTGGTTGGCAGCCCCTCAGGGTGGCCTTGGCAGTGTATCTGGCATAGGAATTCCACCCAATCACCACCATCACCCAGACAACGAGGTAGACACAAGGAATTCTGCCCACCAGGGCTGCTGTGTACCAGAGGGAGGGCTAGGTGCTCAGGAAGCCGAGTCTGGACTGGGGGCGGATGTGGGGGCCGAGCTGCGGGAGGGACACCTGGCCACTGCTGTCATCTTCACTCACGTGCTCCTCCAGATCTCCAACTGACCAGAGAACACCTGCCTCTCTCGCTTACAGTAATTCCTCTCCCTGTCTTCTGCCCAAGGTTGGTGGTACAGCACCTGCCGCCATCGGGAGGTCAGGCACACACCCAACCCCGCCCCCACAACAGGAGGCCCTGCTTCCCAGAGTGTCCCCCTTCCCTCCAGGCTCCAACCAGACACCCTGTCCTCTCCACCCCAACCACCTCTCCAGGGTTCTCTGCACCCTGAATGCCCCATGAGGCAACTGTTTGGAAAGCTGAGGAAGATACTAAGCCAGCTCCTGCTTCATTTGGGATCTCTCAAGTTCGGGGAGAGCTGCTGCTCAGAGATGGCCCTCTTCCAGGGAAGGAGGCAGGGAATCTCATGGTCTGTCTGGGGTGCAAGGTGGAGCTCCAGCTTCCTCAGGCACAGAACGAGGACTACGGTGCCCTCAGCCCCATCTTATGTCCCCAGGAAACACCTGAGGGAAATCCCATTCCCACCCTCCACCTCTCACCTACAGATCAGCATGGGCCTTCTCTGGAAACACCCTCAGACAAAGCAGGTATGTCCTCCACCGTCAGACCAGGCGCCTGCACTTGCCAGCGACCCAGAAGGCATGGATTCTGGGCTTGGCTCTACACATCCTTACTGCAGGACCCTGGAAAAGTCATTTCTCCCCTCTGTGCCTCAGTCTCCTCTTCTGTAAGTGGAGATGTGCTAGATCACCAGTAGTGGAAGGCCTGTCCTGCTTTCCCATTCACAAAGGCCACCCCCCACACCACAGACTCCATAGGCACCCAGGCCTAGCGCAGTGAGAAAGGGCAGGCACCATGCTTTCTGCAATGGAGGAGTGGGGGGGTCCCCGGCCTTCCCTTCATGCACTCACCTGGAGAAGTGTCTACACCCCAGAGACAGACCAGCTCCCTGCTGCCTCCTCTGCCCCATGATGCTCCCAGCCCAGCCCCCAGCTACTCTACTCCACCCTGTCTGCTTCCTGGAACCAGGCATAAGCTGCCTTGGGAGCAGCTGTCATCCCCCACTCCCACCAGCCCATGTCACCTGGGCCCAGAGCCCTCCAGCCTATCCTGCCAAGAAAGTAAGGCTTCCCTAGTCCCCACACCCACATTACCCCCACCTCTGAAGAAATCAGATCCCCCACACTGAACAGCAGCTTGCCTGCCACCTCTGCAGGGCTTCCCTCCATCCCCCTAACCACATCCGCTTTGGGCAGCTCCACCCCCACCTCTGCCCCCCCAACCCCACCTGCTGGAGGGGGAGGGGAGCCCAGGGGCATACAAAGGACAATAGCAGAGCACTTACGACTCCGGATGGACCAACAGGCCTTGGCCAACACACATTATCCCTTCAGCCTGCAGGGCCCAGCAGGAGCCAGGCTGCCTGGGAGGGGCAGGGCCTGGCCTCTGTCCATTGTGGAGGCCTACAGAGAGAGAGTGGATGTGAGTAGCAAGCACATTCCCTGGAGACAGCATGGCCAGGACACACAGGAATGGGAGCAGTGGCAGGACCCAGGCCACAAAAGGAGAACAAGCCAGCCCAAGAACTTCCCTGGATTAGGCATCAGAGCCTGGGGGCCTGGGCAATCTGCTTCCAGGGGTGTAGGGTGTGGCCAGGAGCTGCTGACAGCATTTCAGAGCCATACAGACATATCAGCACCTCGCCCCTCTGCCTCATACCCCTCCCGGCTCTCGGCCTTTGAGCGTCCAAAAGGGCATGTTACAGGCACAGGAAGAGAGCTATCGTGAGGAAAAAGCGGAAAACCCTTCTCTCCTTTAGGGGCTCCAGTTTGGGCCCTAAAGCCTCAGAGGCCCCTAAAAAGCAGGGGCTCCATGCCCCTGAATCAGGCAGCCCAGCCTTATAATCAGAGCAATGAGGACTCTCAGAAATCTTCTGGGATGGGTCACCAGTCCCCAAATGGGAAGCCCAACTTAAAGCAGAGCAGATGCGGGATCCCAGACTGTCTGGGTTCGAATCCTGGTTCCACTGCTTGTCACCTTGGATGAATTATATAATCTCTTTGTACCTCATACTCCTCATCTGTAGAAATGATGACATCTCTAAAATTAACAATCACAGGGTTATCAGCAGGCTTAAAACAAGTTAACGTGTAAAAGACTTATAACAGTGCTGGATGTGCACATCTGCTGCATACCATTATTAGGAGAAGTTCCATGAGGACACACACATAAGAGCTAGCCCCAGACCCTAGTTCCTAGTCCAAGGCAGCACTGGGCAGCGGACCTCTCCTTCCAGGGTGGAAGCTAACTGTGTGCTTCACCCCAGCCTCTCCCCCAAACCCACTGAGCCAAAGCCCCCCTCAGCCAGGGCCCCCTGACCCACATCTCCACTTCTCTTCTTCCACCCCCTCCAGAGCTCTTTCGTTTCAACCACACCCCAGAGTGAGGGCAAGACCATGTCTTCACTAGCTATTGGACTGCCCCTCAGACTGAAATGAGGTCTGAGAAAAAAGAAAGAGATGATGGAAGCTAGGAGGGGCAGAGAGGAGGAGGACCCCAGAGGGTGGGCAATGGGATTCCTCACACTCCTGACCTCTGCCTGAGGTCCCCAGGCCAAGGTGAGGTCCTCCGGCCCATAGCACCCAGGCTCTCCCCTTACAACATTGCCAACACCCCTCCCTCCCAATGCTGTAGGGGAGCAGGAAAAGGCCACGGGAGAGAAGGAGGAAAGGGAGGGCAGACTGAAACATCTAGAGCACCTCTAACCCTAAACAGAAAGTAAGACGAGGCTTCCAATGTGCCCCAGCCCATGGACTACACCTGCTTTCCAGGGTGACAGTGTCATCCTTCCATCCCCGGAAATGGGTCTGTAGTTTCCCCCAGCCTTGTCTTTTCTCCCTACCAGCTCACTGCTAAGGAGGAAGGAAGGGTAGGAAGGGCCAAATACCACCTACCACAGTCAGACCCAACCTGAGCGCCCAGGTCTTCCCCGTCCGGTTCTCAGAACAGGGGCCAGAGTCTGGCACCACGTGGTGCCCACAAATGATTCATAACATCTTCAGACAGGTATCTGTTCCCCCGCTTGTCCTAGATCAAAATGCCTCCCTCAATAGTCATACCACAAGCATTTACTGAGGACCCCCTGGGAGCCAGGCAGTGTCCCCTGAACAATGGGAGAGCCAAGAATGAGCACACCAAGATCTCAGAGCCCCAGGAGCTGACCGGGGATGAACCAAGGTCAAGTACAATGTGCACTGTGCAGAGGGCAAACCAAAGGCTGAGTGGGCTTGGAGGAGGCGAAAGTGGCTGGTCGAGGTGGCTCACGCTTTGGGAGGCCAAGGCAGGCGCATCACAAGGTCAGGAATTTGAGACCAGCTTGGCCAACATAGTGAAACCCTTTCTCTACTAAAAACACAAAAACCAGCCGGGCATGGCGGCACACGCCTGTAGTCCCAGATACTTGGGAGGCTGAGTCAGAAGAATCACTTGAACCCAGGATGCGGAGATTGTGGTGAGCCAAGATCCCACCACTGCACTCCAGCCTGGGTAACAGAGTGAGACTTGTCTCAAAAAAAAAAAAAAAAAAAGGAGGACAAGTGACCCCCAAAATGGGGTGGAGCATCAGGCCAGACTTTAGTCCTTAGCTACTGCTCCCCACCAATTTCATTTCCCAGCCATTCACTGTGCTCCAGTCATGTGGGCCTTCTCTCCCCACTCAGGGTCTCTGCACTGGCCATTCCCTCTGCCCAGAACTGGCTCTTCCTTATCAATCAGGTTTCATTTCCCATGTCATCTCCCTAAAGGGCCTACATCCCCACCCCACCACACTAGCCTAATTTTATTCACCATAGGTCTTGTGTTCACATCTGTTCACTGGTTTATCACCTTTCTAACCAACCAGAATCTAAGGATGCTGTCCCCCTCAATCACTGCGGAGTCTGCAGTCTCTAAACCCTGCTCAGCACTGGCAGGTGCTCAGAAGGGAAGAGCCTTCCAGCTCAAGAGCTATCCCTTCCTTTTGGGGGCAGATCCAAGCGCCAGAGCCTTCTTCCTTATGTTGAATCACAACCCAGATTCTAAAATTCCCCAGCCCTGGATCCCAGCTTTGCCCCCTGTACTGGCCAGTGGGAAGCCTCATTCTAGTCCTTCCTAACGAGTACTTTAGCCATTTCCTAACTAAACTGCCTGTTGCAACAGGATACCACTGACAGGCCCTCTGCCTGACAGGCCCTGGTGGCCTCCTGAGTACAAGCTCTGCATTGGCCAATGTCCCCACCCAGAAATGGGCATATTACTATTATTAGCAATAACAACAGCAGCTAATATACTTATATATATAAGTATAAATATAATATAATATATAAAAATATATATATTATATATATATAATAATAAACAGCAGTTAATACACTTAACAGTGTATCTGACAACATGTGCCAGATACACTGTTAAGCACTTTAGACACATTGTTTCATTTCAGCCTCCCAATGCTATGAGGAAGGGATTATAATGTTAAGCAACTTGTCCAAGGTCACACAGCTAGGAATTGGCAAAACTGGGTTTAGAACCCAGGGAGCCCAACCAAGGAGTCCAAATCAAGCATCCTTCCTCCCCCTTGCCACCCGCTTGGACCTGTGTAGTGGATGGAGGGTACACACTGCACAGAGCAGTCCCACAGCCTCTGTCCAGAGAGCAGGTCAGAAGCTAAGGGCCTTTGAGCCAGGCACAGGGCCTGAACTCCTCAGCTGATTTTCTTGAGTCCAGCACGGGCCTCAACCGGGATGTCAGTCACATTCACATTGTTAATCTCAGCCCATCCTTCTGCCCAGTCGCCTGCAATTAGAATCTTGATGTTATCACACTGTAAGTGTCACTCCTCACAGCTCTGGGTGACTACAAGGAGTTGGCTGACTTCCTGTTTAAGTCTTCATCCAAGTCACTGATAAGAACGTTCACTTGAGTAGGTCTAGGGGCAAGCCTTGTAGCCCCACCACTAGGGCCCCAGACCAGGCCGACAGCAGCCCCCAAATCCATCAGCACCCATTGGGCATAACTGTAGGGAACCTAACGACCTCTGCCCAGCCTGCGTTTTCCCAATGTGCCCCTAATATAGCCCTATACCCAAATTCACAATTCACTGAAAACCACCTCTGCAGCATTTCTCGAGTCCACCAGGTCATCTATCAAAAATGAAGACATAAAAAGGGAATGAGAGAAGTCAAGGAACTGTGCCCCGGGCCCTCAACACAGACCACCAGGGTAAGAAGGTCTGGAAATACCCGCCCCCACCCCACCCAATGTAAGGAGGGAAGATGTTGCGGCAAACAACAACAACAACAACACGCCTGGGAGACACGAACCCCGAGTCCTAAGCCCCAGCTCCGCCTGACTCCACGAGATCCCCAGCCTTGGTTCCTCGACTCAGTCCCGCTAAGGGGCTGCATCGCGCAGCATCGGTCCCTCTCGGCTGGGTCTCCTGGCAGACGAGCTCCCGCGCTCCTGGAACCGGTTCCCGCAGCCGGCGGGGAAATGGAAGGAATTTCTCTGGCCTGGCCACCTCCAGCGCCCCTCGTGGGCCAAACCCCACCCTTGGCGGGCTGGGGAGAGAAAGCCTTGGCGGTCGCTCTTGGGGGCTGACTCGGAGCCAGGAGGTTCCGCTGGGAATCCAGTCCCTCTCCCCGACTCCCCTAGTTTCCAAGCGGGACTCCCGGCATGGCCCCGAGCCCGCCCCAAGGCATCCACCAAGGCCCCGAGACTGCCCGGCCTCTCCCGGGCCCACCTCCAGCCACCCCGACGGCCCCTCACCTGACCCTGCGGGCTCCGCTCGCCTCTCCACCCCCGCTTTCCGGGGTCGCGCCCCAGCAGTCCCGAAGCTGCTCCGCGCCGCAGGGGCGCCCATGCCGGCAGGCCGGGGGTCGAGGGTGCCGCGCTGGGATCCCGCCAGTTCCGCCGCCACCGCCGCCTCGCGCTCCTGCAGCCGCGCCGCCGCTCGGCGCCCCCCGCCCCCGGGTAGCCCCCCGCCCGCAGTTCCGGCAGCACCGCGCTCCCCGCCCCCGCGCCCGCGGCCGCCCGCGCTCTGCCCCAGCCCCGGCGCACCTCCCCCGGCGGGAGGGGCGGGGACCGTGACGCGCGCCCATTGACGTCTCCGGAATCCCGGCGGCGGCGGCCGACGCAGCCTCATCAATGGGGCTAAAAATAGCGGCGCCCGGAATAGCCGCGAGCGCCCCGCCCCGCGGCTCCCCCCACGCCGCACACCCGGTTACATAACCCGCCTCCTGCGGCCGGAGCCGGGGAGCTGGTTCTCAGGTGAGGGAACCGAGGCCTCACTCACACCTCCCGAGGCGGCGCACCCGGGGCTAGGTTATAAATAAACTTACCTGGGGCTTCCCCAGGAAGAAGTGGAAAGAGCGAGGCTCAGAGAGGCTCGGTGGCGGCCCACAGTCACACAGCAATTCGTCTGCTCGCGAAGACAGGGCCTGGCCTTTGAGTCTGCGGGCGCCTTGCCTGCATCGCTTGGCCTTCATGCCACCCCAAGAACAAAAAATCCCAGGTAGCAGGGCACCCAGCTTCCACACGAGAAGGCAGCTTATAGAAAAAAACGACTTCCTCAGAGGGTGAGATTTCTCCTGAAGAGGGCACTTCCCGAGGAGCGGGAGCAGGCCGCGGCAAAGCCCAGGTGATGGATTCACTGATCTGGCTGCTCCCATGCCACTGTGTGGCCCAGGGCAGTCGCTTGACCTCTCGGAGCCTCAGCTTCCTCAGCTCTAAAATGAAGATGATATGTCCGATTATCCACCCTTTCTGGTTGTCAGGACAATAACAGCTGCAGAGGTGCCTTGTACACAGTATACCCTCGGAGCTGGTTCTCCTCCCTGCTCTCCCCAGTCCACAAGAGTGCTTAATGCTCTCAGTGGCCCACCGCCGTGGCCAGGAAGCCCTGGGAGGCCCACCCTCGCCTAACCAGAGTCTCCAGGCCCAGGCTTCCACGGTAAGAATCTTCCTGGGGCTGCAGGCACTTGGAATGTTCCTCTCTCCGACGTGACTGGAGCCGTCTTTGGAAATGGGAGAACCATCCTGTCCTGAGCAAATCTTTCTCCCCCAGCAGCTGCCCACTCAGGAGTGGCTGGTCAGGAAGGCCAGGCAGGCCAAGGTTGGAGCAATGGGGTTGGGGCTGACTGGGTGGGATTGGGGGGAACCATCCTCTCCTTAGCAAATCCTTCTCCCCCAGCAGCTGCCCACTCAGGAGTGGCTGGTCAGGAAGGCCAGGCGGGCCAAGGTTGGAGCAATGGGGTTGGGGCTGACTGGGTGGGATTGGGGGTTACCATCACTGCTCCTGTACCCCCATACAGACATGGCCATTGGGGAACACTAGTTAGGGAGGATCCAGTCATGTGCCCTGCTGTGCCAGCCACTAGCCCTGCTCCTTTTTGAGCCACCTTAAATGATGAGCATGCTATACAATCCCCAGCACCAGGCCAGGCCCCACGCAGCAAAGAATCTCTTCTGTGCTCAAAATTCTCCAAAAGAGGCCCCACACCTCCACTCAGCCCTCATTCCAGGGCTGCATTCCTCTCTCCACCCCACTGCCCACCCCCAGAAATCCTTTGCTGGACCGATCCTAACGGCACAACTCGGAATTCCCTTTCTCTCTTTCTTCATAATGATCCCAAGAACCTCTCGTTTGTCTCAAAATCACCTCCCAATAACCTGTACATTTCTCTCCCAGGTTCAAGTATTAGGTCAATTTACAGATAGAGAAACTGAGGCTTCAAAAATGACAAGGTGTCAGGTGGGGGAAAGGGTAGGGCTTTTCCTCACTCACCCGTGCCCTCCTCTTTGCCACCCAGCAGCTCCTTTCAGATGGGCTTCTTAGAGAAGCAGCTACCCCACTCCCTCTTTTCCTTTCTTTTTCCAGAAGTCTAACTTTTGAAATACATTTTAAAATATTTGCCTGTGTGGGAGAAATACATTTATTTAGACAGGAAGGGAAAAAAAGGGCTCAGTTACCAGTTTTTCCATGAAGGCTTCCAGCCCACAGAGGTCTCTCCTTTCCATAAATACTTTTAGCATAACTTGTCTTTATTATATATTCTCCTATTTATAATCAAATAAAACATATTCTAAAATGTGGAATGCCAGATCACGCACGCTTTGGGTGGCATGTGGAGGCGGTGTGAGATGGTGGAAGAAGCAGTCTCTAGAGGCCTAGGGATTGACACTGGTCGGAGGGCTGAATAGCTATGGAGGTGCTTTGTACACAGCAGACACTCAGAGTTAGTTCTCCTCCCTGCTGTGCCCCAGGAGTCTGATTCCCCTAATCCACAAGCCATTCTGTCTCTTACCAGCTGTGTGACTTCAGGGAAGTTACTTGCCCTCTCTGGTCAGGAAGGCCAGGCAGGCCAACGTTGGAGCAATGGGGTTGGGGCTTCAGATTCCTCACCTCAAACACAAAGATAAGAAACCTATTTCATAGAGTTGCCATTAGAGTCCCTCTTTGATAGCAGACATAAAGCATGAAGGGGAGTGTGGCACAATGTGGCAGATCTGCCATTTCCATACAGGAGGACTTGGAGGACAGCCAGGGCTGGGATCATGTCTTGAAGCTGTGTATCCAAGGTGCTTACCCTAGCTTTGCCCAGCTGGTATGTTGATTGGGAATACTGGGGGCCTTGGGGGCTGCACAGATAGGAGCAATGTTGCCTCTTAGTCATTACAAAGGTCCAGTACATGTCAGCCCCGTTGCTGTCTCTCTGATCCAGGTCACTTGGCTAGTGAGTGGCCCAGCCAGAACCATAGTCCTGGTCTTCCGACTCCTAGACCAGCGCTCTTTCTACGCACCCTCGCATTTCTTCATATCTGACTCCTCTCCTTTCTACAGGCACGGCTTCACAGCCCCTACTGCAGATAGGAAAGCTGAGGAGAGAGAAGATGAACAAGGCATGGCCCAGGGAGTAGGAGCAGAGGGCAGACAGGCACCGTGGCCAGTGCCACCCCACAGTGTGGGAGGTTCCTAGAGGACAGACTCCTCCGCAGAAAGCTGGCTTCTAGTCTGGTGGGAGGCAGGACACAAGACTAGGTGTGAAAACATTGCCAGGAGATCTAAGAAGTGGCCTCCAAGAAGGCTTGAGCTGGCATTGGGGTGGAATCTAGAGACTAGTCTGAGAGGCCTCCCTGGAGGAAGAGAATGTAGGGCCCAGTGTGAGAGACAGGACAGGCAGGGGACAGAGGAAAGGCACTCCATGGAGGAGAGAAGCTGCCCCCAACGTTTAGGTATGTGGCAGGGCAGGGCTGAGATCCTGAGAGTGGAAAGCAGCGGGCCAAGGTGAGCCAC